ATAGCTGTTTTACATTGACAATTTATTGATGAATAAATTGACGAAGTTCTTCATGAATTAATTCACGAATTTATTGGTAAACAGTGTGGTTTTACACTGCTACAGACTTTGTCAAGTTTTTTGACGTATGAATCAGTTCTACCAATGAATCAAAGAAGCAAATAAATTTCAAAAATGTCACCTTTCCACTCATAATTGTAGTGATACAACAGCGGTACCGTTCTGACACATATTATATAAATATTAGTTTTTGTAAATAACAAATCAGTAAAAACAATGCAAAACTTGCACGACGCCACACAATTATTTACATATTCCAATAACATAACCTCATTACTGATCTGAGGCTGGAAATCTGTTGGGTTGGTACTTCTGAACTTCACGAAGAAATTGACGAAAATTAGAACATGCTCTAATTCGTCAAGAACTTGATGAACAATTGTTGTAACAATATCAATTGATTGAATATCACTTTTATTATTTAAATATTATTTATAAAATTTGTGTTATTTATTTCTATTAATAATTATTTAAATAATTTCTTATACGGATGAATATACATCAGGAGATTTGAATTTAAATCGAGTTTTCTTATTAGGTAACAGTAATATTTGTATGATCAATAATACCTATCAATTTATTAGCCCTAATTTTATGGATGCTCTTGGTTTTCTTAATTCCTGTAATTTTTAATTTAATTTATTAAGTTACATGTATTTGAGAAAAAAAATGACAGTTCTATTTTTACCTTGGAAATAAATCAAAATTATGATAACGAAGATTGATTAATAGATACATAGATTACAGGAACTTCTATGATGTTCATATCGTTAAAGATTTGAGTGATATTCTAGATTAAAAATATAAATAATATTTTAGATGGGAGAATGACGTTCACAGTGATTATATCCTTGGAAAGTGCTAGAAAAAAATAAACATTTTCATTTTATAAGAAACAAAGTACCAGCAGCTATCCAAAATAAATGGATATACCTATTTAATTTCCCAATAGATCTTTTTAATAGTGACGTCACACACGCTAAATAATAGGCAACTCCATATTTTTACTAGATCAATTTTCGACCTTATGTACTTTGGACTTAAGCGTTACCATCCAATCTCGGTGGTAACGACTTAAGTGCCAAAAAATGTCTTCTTTGTCATGACCTTAAATATCGCGATATTCTGGTAATATTATAAATATTTAAGAAGTTTCAAACCCCAAGTGACAAACCAAAAGAATTATAGAATTTATATATTTAAGAAGTTTGGTTATGGATATTTAAGAAAAGTTTGATTATAGATAAGCGTATGTCTATAATAAACCACTTGAAGAAAAAAACACTCGATAAACACACTGACACAGCACAACACTAAGGAAAACAATAAAAAATACTTAGTAGTACTAGAAAATACCAAGATTAAACAATGAAGAGAAAATACGCTAAAGATGACGCGATGTCATATCAACAAGATCTCACCTACGTATGAGGCTATTCTTTCCAAGCATGCGCATTNAAAATTGCTGTAGAGCCTAAAGATGGGCATTTTGAGCTTCGACCCCATTGACACTTTTGATCAGGGGTACAAAACAAACAATTTCCCAAATTTTTAGCAAATTTCACCGGAAGACCGTTTTCCATATAAAATGTGCGGGGTCCTTTGTGTCTCATTTTGAATGCATGGGTGCAACTTTGTATTAGGTAGATTTGATTAAATTACAATATTTTAGCCTGTACATTAACATGCTGGTTCTTATGTGGGACACCCTGTATACAGGGTGATTCACAACTTATCCAAAAGAATTTGAGAATAGATACCTATCGTAAAAATTCTTTTGTAAAACCCTTATAGTTTGCAAGAGAAAAATTATTGAAGTTGTAGTATTTTCAAGCATTACATTGCTGGACAACTAGTCTCTAGCGTCATTCGCAATACGCGTGGAGAGCCACGTGGCCTCAGCGACTCCGAATACTGAAATCCAATTTTACAATCGTCGTTGTGATAGTGTTTACAATAGTTTTTCAGTAGTTTTAGTAGTAGTCGTTTTAATTTATGGTGAAGCAATATTTGTATTAGGTATGGTGAAAATTTTCTGTTATGATGAAGCAGAACAACATTTGTGTTAGTTCGTAGAAACTGAGTAAGACAGGCCCAAATGTGTTTACGTCGGTAGACAAAATTATGAACAGTTATTGTAACATCAGGTAGATATATCAAATTATTTTATTAATTAAAACCACAAATTGATTTTATTAATTAAAATTAACTATAGACGCAAAAGGAGTTGAATAGGTGGTATAAAATTCAATTTATTCCTTTCCTTGGGAAATTGTTGGAAGTTTTTGTCCGTTTCTGTCAAACTTTGCCGGTGGCGGCGTACCGATGCCGGCCCCATTGCACGAGGTCAGGTTTTACAGTGGACCAGTTTCCAGTACCGTGCAGAAGTATTTTTAAATCATTTTCGAACTCCCATTTTTGATTTTTTCCTTACAAAATTGTATTTGTAAGAGTCCGTAAATTTTTTTTTTGGTAAAAGTTCTGAATCACCCTGTATTTAATAGAGCATGATAATAAAAATAATTTTACAGAGACCATCATGAAATTTGCACCAAATAGGGAAGATTTCTATTTATGATTGTAGAAAATAATATTTTCCTTATAATAATAATTTTTTATTGTCTGAAAACTGTACATGTAAATAGATTTTTTGTTTACGAGAAAATTACATTATCTTAATCTGTTAAAATTTAATATTTAGATTTTGAAAGTACCTATGTGAAATTTTTATTTGAATTCTTCTAATATTGAGTTGTACTCCTATTAAAATTATGTATGGAGCTCATAATAAAAATAAAAAACGCCACCATTTAACAAAATATAAAACTGCTACTGACTTTATTTCGTTGCAAAAGTTTAAATTTATACAAACTAAATGATAGCAATTAGAATTTAGCCAATAAATCTCTATGTTATACAATTTTCTTCTAAATTGAAAATGATTTCATGTTGATTACATGAATCATGTACTGTACACATAAAATTTAGTTTCACCACCACATCTTTCAAGAAAGGACGCATGGGGGATACATATTCATAAATTTGACAATGTGTAATGTTGTATAAATTATATGCTCGAAATCAACTCTAGCTTACATTCGACTGGCAGGTCCGACATACTGTTTAAATTAAAATATTTAAATCGTCTGTTATTGATTTCATTCTGTGAAAATGGTTTATTAAATTAAAATTTTAAATTCAGGTCTTTCTCACATCTACCCGTTCAGGCATTTCCACCTAAAAATTCTTCAATAAAACATTCTCATTACAATTCAAATTAAACATTTTTGCAATTATTATTTGCTTCATCACAGAGGGAAAATGTTTTATAAAAAGTTATTATTATCTCACAAGTGTATTTAAAAATCTTTATAGTAATTTTTCAAAAAATATTGGGGTAGATCTGA